CTTCTTACTTTATCCCAGTAGGCCGGCCGATCTGCGTTAACTTGCGTCGTCTAGAACCGTACTTTGAATTCCCATTGTGAATGCTAGTATGTCTATTTCGACTCTTGTAGTTGGATGATTTCGTGTTAAAACCCGAATTCATTCCGTACAACAATTTCTAAATTATTTAAATGTTTTCCAGATTATCACCCAATTCTTATTACATCTTAGTTTGCCTATTTCTGAACTAACTGCCGTATAAGCCTTCGTTCCTTAGTTTAAGTTCTCGTGACAGTTTATAGATATACACAATGCATAATTATTTGTCCTGTCTTGCCTTGCTATCGGACACTTCAATCTTCCTTTGAGACTAACATATAATTGTTCTTCCTGGTGACCAGGACTTCCTGGATTTCTAACTGATCTCTGTCACTCTGTATGTCAGCAGACTACATGAAAACATATCAGTAAGCTTTCCTGCATGTGTATATCTAGAGGAGCTGCGCCTTCAAGCTTTAAGTAAATAGTTATATGTGTGATTGGCTTCCCATCAATACTGGCCGCTTTTAGCAACGCCGATATCTATCGGAATGAGCAGGCATATAAGGGAAAATCGTTGTATTTTTACAGCCCCTAGACCGTTGTCGGGCTATGACATTGCAGTTAATCTGTGTGAAAAAGAGACTTAATTGTTGAAACAAAAATGGTATTCGCCTGATATTTTGAATTACCAATCAAATTCTTATCGGAGTCTGTCGCCAACGATGGGTTCGAGTGGTAACCTGAAATCTATAGCGAACAAAAAAATGTGTTCCAGCGGCTGCAACGTCTGCTTCTCAACTGCTTTACAAAACTTAAATTTTTCTTTTGTATCGATAATTATTTTTGTTTTGTAGGGGCGCACCCAAATCCCTTTGCACAGAATTTTAAGATGTGGGGGATTATGGTAGATGATTGCTTGTTTCTTTTCTGAGCAAGTCATCGACATCCAGACCTCTCTGCAGTAAAAATGGTGCTTAATTGGGGCGCATAGTCACAGGACACCGTATGTCAGTGAGCTCCATGAAAGAAATCGGGTCGAGCTAAGATTTCAAGCCTAGACTGCCATGTACCAAATGCGACACTACTGACATTAAACCTTCTAGACGTCAGTAATGTGATAAGCGCCCACCGATCACGGATCTTTGAACTTGCGATCGTGTCTGTGACATGCTGTTCAAAGTCCTGTTGGTCCGACTGCAGGGCACACTGCTGTTTGTCACTAGTCTATGCCTGAATATGTGGCAGAGCATTGCCAGCCTAGCGAGTCGTTGGGTTTCATACCACAAGATGTAAATTGAGGTTAATGGTAAAAGCCAGATACTCATTATAGGATGATTGGGTATAATCACTTTCAATTTTTGGTTCGCAAGCCACTGAACTCAGGGGAACAAAGACCTTAAAAATAACGAGATATACTGGTTCCGGTTCTGTAGCCTTATTTTCTTCCAAAACATTCGTTTTTATTTTCTCCGTACATTATTTTGTATCCTTTATTTAGTACTACAACGCCGACGGGATGCCGACCAGGCGCATTGATCCGGGCGTCTGCGCGCTCTGCACTAATATCTTGCAAAACGATGATATTGAAAAGAAGTACCGGCTAAACTGTTCTCACGTGTAAGTGTCGTTGGCCCCCACCCGGTTATTTCTCTTCGATATTTTAAATGCTGCTATGCCCACAACGGCTTATGCAGACCTTTCTCCTCTTTGCCGTTTTTTATTTAAAAAAACTCCAGGCGTTTTTCAACTAAGTATATCGATAAGTGAATTGTTCGGCAAGCAAGTGATTCAATGATTAAATTCAACAGTTGGCTGTGTATTTTGGAATAATCGCAATGGGCGTTTGGTTTGTGGCAGATACAAATGACGCCGCCAGGAGACGCATAAAAGTTCACCCGATTGACTCTAGACGTTCTTATCATTCGAATCTCGTATTTTGTATGGGCTTGCCAATCGTATGTATGGTACACTAGCGCATATTTTCGCGGTTAAGAGCGTAAAGTCTTTGCCGTCAAGAGCAGCTTGGAACTGAACTAGGAGAAACTTCACTAAAACTAATACGAACTTTTTCGCAGCTCACGAAAGGTTTCGGAAAGCGGTTGAATTCCATTTTTGGTAAACCTAAATTGGTGAATTGAAATGCTTCAACGTATATGTTTGTCACAAACGATAATAAAAGATCCAATCAAATCTTGTCGATTTTGTGAGGCTAAGTGGTGCAAGTCCATGGAAGCCGACTCGTCGATACGTTCCTAAACGCCCTTTATACGTAGCTTAGCTTCTTGTCCAGTTTTTCAAGATTACTTGAGGTGTCGAACGGATGGTATACAATCA